CCGCCACCTCGCCCGGCTAGTTTTTTTTGTATTTTTTAGTAGAGACGGGGTTTCACCGTGTTAGCCAGGATGGTCTCGATCTCCCGACCTCGTGATCCGCCCGTCTCGGCCTCCCAAAGTGCTGGGATTACAGGCTTGAGCCACTGCGCCCTGCCAAAGAAGCCGGTTTTTATGGGCAGGCAGCCCGGGTTCTGGCAGGCAGTGGGGCCAGGGGGAGGAACGCCGGGGCAGGGGGAAGAGGAGCTGAGGGCGCACAGAAGGAACCACGGCCACCAACTGCTTGGGTGGGGTGGGGGAGTCTCATTTGGAGAGTGAGGGACAGAGATGCTCAAAAAGGGGGGTGAGGGGCAGATGGAGTCCATGGGGAGAGGTCTCTGGGTTCTGAGATGTCTGGCGCCCTGTGAGGGTGGGTGACCCACTCAAGCCTGCATGGGGGTCATGGGACAGTCTGGGGATAGAGCCACTGTGGACGAACGGGGTGGACCTCAGGACGAGGATGCCAGGACCAAGGGGCCATCCAGTGGCCACCCAGAACCATATCCAGAGGGCGGAAAAGTCTAGAAGGTGCAGTGGCCAGCAACCCAGGGGCTTCTGGGTCAGGTGGACAGGCAAAGAGGGTCCCATTTAAAGGTGTGGTCCAGTCCAGATCACCCAAAGGAACTGCGCCTGGCGTAGCTCCTTCCTCCCCAAGAAGCCAGAACTCTGGAAATGTTTATGTAAAACGTCCTGATTTTAAAATGATAACAACTGTTCTCCTTTTCCACAAAAGACCAGTCTGGGGGTGGAGTCTGGCCCTTGGGCCACCACTGTGAGATCCATGTCCACTGTCAGCTGCTTGACACACCAGGGAGCGTTTCTGATGGCCCATGGTGGGCACCGGGGTCCCCCAGGCGACTCGGCGAAGGGGACAGACCCTGGACTCTCACCCTGGCCCGTGGCTTGGTCCGGTCAGCCCCTAAGGCTGCCTCAGCCCCACATGGGCCCAACCATGTGGCCCCAGGCTGTTTTCCGGAGACCCACCAAACTCGCCAGGCCCCGCAGGGTCGGGCCTGACCTCTGACCTGGCAGTGGGGCTGGGGAGGGGACAGGCCCCCCTGCGGACATCCGCCCCACCAGGGCACCACTTCCCGCGTGCTTACAAGGCGAGGTCGGCGACGTGGCTCCTCCCTCGGAGGTGGTGGCGGGTTTGGTGGCAGGGGGGAGCGCCAGCCGTGGCAGCCCCGGGGGCGGAGGTGCCAGCATCTGAGCAGAAAGGCAGTGGCTGGGCATTTTGAGCTGACCACTTCCATTTAACTGGGGGAACAGAGAGACACGTGGTTAAGGGGTGGGCTCCCCCTCTACCTCGGGCTGCTGGCGCCGGCCGCCCCCGGCTCTGTGCACGGCCCCGGGCGGGATGGCAGGCTGGGGGAGCCAGAGCGTGGGTGTGACCATGGCGGGTTTGGTGGGTCTGAGGACGGCCAGAGGTGGAGGGGCCTAGGGACGCCCGCTTACTGGTGTCATTCAAAGCCCGGCACTGCTGGGGCCACACTCACTGCATCTCCTCTGTAAATCCCCTGCACGCCAACTCGACTGAGTTCCTTCCAAACAGTGCCACTGCCTCCTAACAGCAGGGTCTCTGTGTTTTTCCTAATTCATTACGAGCACGCCATCATCCACCATCATCCACGGCCCGGCCCGTGGTTCCAAAGTCCGAAAAGCTCTGAACACCCAAAGCTTCCTGTGGAGTCTGGCAAACGCTATCTCGCTTGAACTGAGTTTGGTGGGTTTTTTGCAATCAATTTCTTCCTGCCCCCTGCCCCAAATCTTTTTTCCTTTTTGAGACAGGGTCTCGCTGTCACCCAGGCTGGGGTGCAGTGGCACAATCAGAGCTCACTGCAGCCTCGAATTCCCAGGTTCAAGCGATCCTCCCACCTCAGCCTCCTGAGTAGCTGGGACTACAGGCGCCCGCCACCATGCCTGGCTAATTTTGAAGTATTATTTTTTTGTAGAAACAGGGTCACGCTATGCGCCCAGGCTGGCCTTGAACTCTGGGCTTATGCAATCCTCCCACCTTGGCCTCCTAAAGCGCTGGGATCACAGGCCTGAGCCGCTATGCCCAGTCCCTCCCTGCCTTCTGTTAACACGAGTACCACTCACGCAGTTGCTGGGACCTGTGGGTGCTACCCAGACCCCACAGGGTGCGACGTGACGTGTCTGAAACCCTGGCATCCGAAAGCATCTCAATTCTGACCCAATCCAGCAGCTTCCCAGCACGACAGAGGAGGGGACTTCAGAGCCGAGTCCCCAAGACCCTTCAGAGCAGAAGTTGTGCCTTTGTGTGAGCACGTGGCCCCCAGGAGGTCACCCGGAGCTGCCAGGAGAGGCCCGAATGCGCCCCGCCCGACTCACCGGTCCAGGTTGCTGGCTGGCTGGGTCGCAGGCCAGCGAGACAAGATCTTTGAGCGGGTCCTGGGGGTTGAGATGAGGTGGGTAGCGGATGGCCGTGTGGGGGAAGTAGGTGGAGGCCGTCTGGGGCAGGATGGACGTCGTAGGGAAATGCAGAGCGGAGGACGGGTGGGGGCTCCGGGCGATCCCTGCGGAGACAGTGGGAAGCGGGGGTTACTTGGGGGCTCCAGCTGGTCTGTGCTCTGTGACCGTGTAACTGTGTGTCTGCGGGTGTGATTCCTGCCTGCATCTCATTGCGTTTAATAACAACCAAAAAAAACCCCAGCCGCACTGACCACATTTACACTCAAATTCCCTGACTCCCACGGCAACCCCAATGGGGCTGTGATATTATCCTGTGTTTTAATTTAATCTTTTAGTTTTGTAGATGTAGAGGTCTTGCTATGTTGCCCAGACGGGTCTTGAACTCCTAGGCTCAAGCAATCCTCCCTCCTCGGCCTCCCAAAGTGCGGGGATTACAGGTGTAAGCCACCAAGCCCGGGTTTTTTCTCTTTTTTTTGAGACAGTCTTGCTCTGTCGCCCAGGCTGGAGTGCAGTGGTATGACCTCAGCTCACTGCAGCCTCCACCTCCTGGGTTTAAGCAATTATGCTTCAGTCTCCCCAGTAGCTGGGATTACAGGTGCACACCACCACGCCCGGCTAACTTTTGTATTTTTAGTAGAGATGGGGTTTCACTGTGTTGGCCAGGCTGGTCTCGAACTCCTGACCTCTGGTGATCTGCCCACTTCGGCCTCCCAAAGTGCTGGGATTACAGGTGTGAGCCACCGCGCCCGGCCCCATCTTTTTTTTTTTTTTAACAGAGGATGACAGGGTGGCCTTCAGGGGATGTGTCACCTGCCTGAGGCCACACGGTATCAGGTGGCAGTCCCGGAATTTGAACGCAGCCCATCTGGCTCCATGGTCTATACTATAAACCTGGGTTTGGTAAGCTCTTTCTGCAAATGGCTGAATAGTGATTTTTTTTTTTTAAGAGATAGAATCTCGCTTTGTCACCCAGGCTGGAGCGCAGAGGCATGATCATGGCTCACTGCAGCCTCAACCTTCTGACTTCAGGTGATCCTCCTGCCTCAGCCTCCCGAGTAGCAGGGACATGTGCCACCACACCTGGCTAATTTTTTGTATTTTTAGTAGAGATGAGGTTTCATCATGTTGTCCAAGCTGGTCTCACAACTCCTGGACTCAAGCAATCCACCTGCCTCAGCCTCCCAAAGTGCTGGGATTACAGGCATGAGCCACTGTGCCCGGCCTAAATCCAGCATGTAAACCCCGTCTCCATCAGCCATCACTCCTCACCCCCTCCCCCAGCCCCAGCACCCACACATCCCCTTCCTGCCTCTGTGGCTGGGTCTGTCCTGGACATTTCATAGAAATGGGATCACACGCTGTGTGGCCTTTTGTGTCTGGCTTCTCTCACTGAGCGTGACGTCCTCAAGGTGGCCTGTGTCAGAGCCTCGTGCCTTTTCATGGCTGAGTCATATTCTATTGTGATGCCTGCCTTTTCCTCTTTCTAAAGAGTTCAGTGATTTTTAGTATTTTCACTATTTATAGCAGTCACTCCCCCGTCTCCCTAGCCTCTGGCCAGATAGTAAATATTTTTGGCTTTTGGCCACGTGGTCTCTGCTGTAATTACTCAGCTCTGCCGAGGCAGGGTGGGAGCTGCCACGGGACATATACAAAGATGTGGTCGTGGCTGTGTGCCAATAAAACTTTATTCATAAGAACAGGCAGCCGGGGGGCTGGCGTTTGCTGACCCCTGGGCCAAATGACTGCTTTGATTTGGGTCTGCCTCTCTGTGTGCATGACTGCGTAAAGAACTAAATATTTTATCACTAGAACGTGGGGTAGTAAGCAATATTTGAGGCTTCCTACAATTGGTCCCGCTTAATCCCAATGGCAACCATGGGAGGTGATTTTTTGTTTGTTTTGTTTTGTTTTTTTGAGATTAGAGTCTTGCTCTGTTGCCCAGGCTGGAGTTCAGTGCGCACGATCTTGGCTCACTGCAGCCTCTGCCTCCCAGGTTCAAGAAATTCTTGGGCCTCAGCCTCCTGAGTAGCTGGGATCACAGGCATGCATCACCACATCAAGCTAATTTTCATATTTTAGTAGAGACAAGGTTTCACCATGTTGTCCAGGCTGTTCTTGAACTCCTGATCTCAGGTGATCTGCCTTTCTTGGCATCCCAAAGTGCTGAGATTAGAGGCGTGAACCACCGTGCCTGGCCGAGGTGGAGATGTCTCTCTCTCTTTTTTTCTAAGACAGAGTCTCGCTCTGTCACCCAGGCTGGAGTGCAGTGGCGGGATCTCAGCTCACTGCAAGCTCCGCCTCCCGGGTTCACGCCATTCTCCTGCCTCAGCCTCCCGAGTAGCTGGGACTACAGGCACCCACCAACCACACTCAGCTAATTTTTTGTATTTTTAGTAGAGATGGGGTTTCACTGTGTTAGGCAGGATGGTCTCCATCTCCTGACCACTTGATCCACCCGCCTAGGCCTCCCAAAGTGCTGGGATTACAGGCGTTAGCCACCGTGCCTGGCCTTGTTTTTTTTTTTTTTTTTTGAGACAGGGTCTTGCTCTGTTGCCCAGGCTGGAGAGCAATGGCGTGACCTCGGCTCGCTGCAACCTCTGCCTCCTGGGTTCAAGTGATTCTCCTGCCTCAGCCTCCCAAGTAGCTCGGACTACAGGTGCACACCACCATGCTCGGCTAATTTTTGTATTTTTGGTAGACATGGGGTTTCACCATGTTGGACAGGCTGGTCTCGAACTCCTGACCTTGTGATCCACCTGCCTCGGGCTACCAAGGTGCTGGGATTACAGTCGTGAGCCACAGAGCCTAGCCTTTTTTTTTTTTTTTTTGAGATGGAATCTTACTCTGTCACCCAGGTTGGAGTGTAGTGGCACGATCTCCGCTCACTGCAACCTCCGCCTCCCGGGTTCAAGCAGTTCTCCTGCCTCAGCCTCCCAAGTAGCTGGGACTACAGGTGTGTGCCACTATGCCTGGCTAATTTTTGTATTTTTAGTAGAGACGGGGTTTCACCACGTTGGACAGGCTGGTCTCGAACCCCTGACCTCGTGATCCACCTGCCTTGGCCTCCCAAAGTGCTGGGATGACAGGCGTGAGCCACTGCGCCGGGCCTCGTTGGCAGCTTCTGATCCTGCCTGTCCTTCAGTGTCTGGGGTTGGAATGCGGGGATTAGATTGAGACAGGGGATGAGGGGAGTGAGGTGAAGGGTAAGCCCCGGGTTGCAGCCTCTTCTTATACAAAGGGGGAAACTGAGGCCCAAAGAGACTGAGTCCAACCTCTCAGCTGGGCTGGGACAAGGCCCTGGGCGCTGTCCACTACGGCACCTCTGTGGTTTTCTGCCCACCTAGAAGGCTACAGCAATACGACTCATGGTCAGACATCCAGTGGGACTTCTCTGGCTGTGAGAGGCCTGAGCGCAGGGCCCGCTGCCCCTCCCTGCCAGGGGCCCATGGTGCTCACCGCTGTGCACGGCGATGACAGGCCGGTGGTGCTGGGTGAAGCTGGAGAGGCGGGGAGAGTCCTGGGGGGACGGGCTGTTGAATGGTGACTTGTCCATCTCTGTCTTCTTCACCGGGGACGAGATGCCTGTGGAGGGGATGGGATGAGAGAGTCACAGGCTGGTCACATCCCAGGAGCCCTGGACCTTCCCCAAAGCCAGCCTCCAAAGGGATAGGAAGCCTCATCACCCTGCCTTCTCTTCTCCCAGAATCCTGAAGGGGAGAGGCTGTGAGCCCAGTACACGGAGGAGTAAACGGAGGCTCAGAGCAGAGAAGGGGCTGGCCAAGGTGGCACGGCCAGGGGATGGAGAGCTGGGTACCAGCACGTGCCCCTGGGCCTCGCTCCCACCTGTTGCCTACTCTCCTTCCAGAGAAATGGGAAGGCTCAGGACTGCCCCATCACCTAGAAGTCACCCGAGCCCTAGAGAAGGCGCAGGGAGGGCAGAGACAGTCAGATCCGAAGCCCAGTTAGACCCTGACTGGCTAAGTGCGCGCGGACAAGCCCCAGCTCAGCTCTGCCTTCCTTCATCCACACGGGAGGAAGGAATGGAGCCTCCCGGGATCTGAAGTGAGGTGCATCCACCCTCTGCAGTGCCTTGCTGGCGTCACTCTGCAGACAGGGGCCTTACTACCTCCCAGGCTGCCTGGGACAGAAGCCGCGGCAGCCCCCAGCTTAGTAGCTCAGCCCCTCACACCTTCCTCAGTGAATCAACAAATGAAGAAATAGATGGAGGCCGGGCACGGGGGCTCACGCTTGTAATCCCAGTGCTTTGGGAGGCTGAGGTGGGCAGATCACTTGAGGCCAGGAGTTCAAGATCAGCCTGGCCAACATGGTGAAACCCTGTCTCCACTAAAAATACAAAATTAGGTGGGCGTGGTGGCGGGTGCCTGTAATCCCAGCTACTTGGGAGGCTGAGGCAGGAAAATTGCTTGAACCTGGGAGGCGGAGGTTGCAGTGAGCCCAGATCACGCCATTACACTCCAGCCAGGGCTACAGAGCCAGACTCTGTCTCAAACACAGAAAAAACAGATGGATAGCCGGGCGCGGTGGCTCACGCCTGTAATCCCAGCACTTTGGGAGGCTGAGGTGAGCGGATCACGAGGTCAGGAGTTCGAAACCACCCTGGCCAACATGGTGAAACCCCGTCTCCACTAAAAATACAAAAATTAGCCGGGTGTGATGGTGGGCACCTGTAATTCCAGCTACGCGGGAGGCTGAGGCAGGAGAATCGCTTGAACTGAGGAGGCAGAGGCTACAGTGGGCCGAGATTGCGCCATTGCACTCCAGCCCAGGCAACAAGAACGAAACTGTGAAACTCTGTCTCAAAAACAAACAAGCAAGCAAACCAACCAAAAACTGATGGATGGACTCAGGTAGGCTCACCCACCAAACACTGCTTCCCTTCCGCTCCAGGCACCCCCCTGGAAAGCCCCTGGGTGTGGGGGAAGCAGGTGGTCCACGGTTCAAACCCCGGCTGGCCATGGGGCTGTGCAACCTGGGGTGAGCCACCACATCCACCGCTTTTCATAAAACAGGGGATTCTGTAAAGCTCTGGAATTTCCATCGGGAGCAGTGTGGGAGTGGCAGCTGTAACGACTGCGCCAGGGGTGCCTGTGTGGGTGAAGCCCACGGCCGTCCCGGATCCCTGGGCATCAGGGCATTCTCTGAGGATGCCTTCAGCCCAGCTTTCCGAGGGAACGTCAGCCACCCAGCTCGAAAAATGTTAGTTACTGGAGGAGCCACTGCTGCTGCTATTTGGGGTGAGTGGGGAGATGTCAGGGTGCCCCTTGACACTTGCACCCTGTCTTTAAAATGAAGTGGGAACACAGAGTCCCAAAGAGGGCCATTTTGGGTATTTCCAGAAGGCTGGGGTGGAGTCCTGGCTCTGGCGCGGACATGCCTGGCCTTCCGGGACGGTGTCTTTTTTTTTTTTTTGAGATAGAGTCCTGCTCTGTCACCCCGTCTGGAGTGCAATGGCGTGATCTTGGATCACTGCAAGCTCCGCCTCCCAGGTTCAAGCAATTCTCCTGCCTCAGCCTCCCGAGTAGCTGGGATTACAGGCGCCCGCCACCACGCCTGGGTCATTTTTGTATTTTTAGTAGACAGGGGTTTCACCATGTTGGCCAGGCTGGTCTCAAACTCCTGGCCTCAGGTGATCCGCCCACCTTGGCCTCCCAAAGTGCTGGGATGACAGGCACAAGCCACTGCGTCCGGTCAATTTATTTGTCACCCAGGCTGGAGTGCAGGGGCACGATCACAACTCACTGTAGCCTCAACCTCCTGGGCTTAAGTGATCCTCCCACCTCAGCCTCCCAGGTAGGTGGGACCGCAGCCATGCACCATCATGCCCAGGAAATATTTTTTTTAGAGATGAGGTCTTGCTATGTTGCCCAGGCTGGTCTCAAACTCCTGGCCTCAAGCGATCCCCTTGCCTTGGTCTCTCAAAGTGCTGGGATTACAGGCGTGAGCCATAGCACCTGGCCCCAGGGAAGCTTTTTCAAGTGAGGGCTAAGGATCACATCTCGCCTGAAAAATGCAGTGTCCTGGGCCCTACCCTATCCCTGGAAATGGAATCTCAGGGAGGTGTGCCCTGGAGAGCCACAGTTTTAGAAAGGATTTTTACATTTCTTTGAAGGTAAAACATATCTACTGAGACCATCCAAACAGGGTGATGAGTTTAGCGTCCCTTCGACCTGGCCCTTGGAGTTCCTTACCTCCAGGGTGTCTCAGGTGGGCACTGCGGACACTGGGGCCGGATCGCTTTCTGGGGTGGGGCTCTCCTAGGCACTGCAGGGTGCTGAGCAGTGTCCCTGGCCACCACCCACTTCATGCCAGGAGCACCCCCCAGTTGTAACAACCACAGATGTCCCCAGACATCACCAAAAGTACCCTGGGGAAGAATCACCTGTGGGTGAGACCCTCTGGGTTAGGGGATCCCATGGACCCTCCATGAGACTGTGTCCCATGATCCTCTGCCCTGCTGAGGTCCCAGGAGGCTGCACACACTGAAATCCACACCGAGTGAGGAGGGAGAGAGGAGGTGAATCCCAGGAGCTGGGGTCCCCCTGGTTTCTACCATCTGCCCTGTCAGGAGCTTCTCCTGGTGTCTGGTGTGAGCAGTGACATAACTCAGTATTTTCCAAATAATCCGCACAGGATTTCTCAGTCTCGACACTGCTGATGCGAGCCAGATCGGTCTCTGTGGAGGGCTGTCCTGGGCACTGCAGGGTGCTGAGCAGCATCCTTGGCCTTCACCCACTCCACGCCAGGAGCACCCCTCAGCAGTGACAACCATGGATGTCCCCAAATGTGACCTAGTGTCCCCGGGGGATGCCCTGATGAGAAACGGTGAGGGTGTCACCGTGTTTTGGGTCTCCTGCTGATGGTTCCACAGGTACCTCCAGGCATCTGTGTGGCACAGCCCCTCCCCAGCCCTGTCCCCACCTCCTCTGTCCTCCCAGCATCGCTGTATCCTTCCCCGAATGGGGTTACCACTCAGGGAACTTCTGTCCTCTCTGATGGCTGCAGCCCAGAGGGAGCCCAGATCCAAGACCCAGCCAGGGGGGACACGCAGCTCTTCATCTGCTTTTGTCGCTATGAAACCAGCTGTCCCACGGCCCTGCACACATCATGCTGTGAGGAGTGAAGGTGTCGCCGGGACACATCCCAGAAGCAGGTCAGCAGTTTGCGGGGACCCGGGAACACCCGGCTCTGGAGGAGACTGGCACCCAGGACACCCACACGGGGGGCAGGAAGGATGACGCCTCCACTCATGCCCAGTCTGTGAACACTCATGGGGGAACACTCCTGAGGCCCTGGGCATGGAGGCTGAGTCATCCAGAGAGGCCCCACTGCCCAGTGGGATGCCATGAAGTCTGTGACCAAGCTGGGCCCCAGCAGCCAGGCCCGGGCTTTTCTAGGGCAGGAGGATGTGGCAGGAATGAGAGTGGCCTGGAGGCAGGGAGGCCGGGCTGGTCCTGTCGGCATAAATGTGTGGGTATGTATGCCTGTGCACGTGTGCATGTGAATACATACATATGCATGCATGTATGTGTGTATGCCTGCACGCATGTGCATAGATGCATGTATGCGTGCATGTCTGTGTACGTGTGTGTACACATGTGAGCGTTTGTGCACGTGTGCATGCCTGCATGTTGCCTGTATGTGTATGCCTGCACATGCACGTTCATGTCTGTGTATGTGTGCAAGCCTGTGTGCGCACATACGTGTATGCATGCGTGCATGTCTGTGCATGTCTATGCATGTGAATGCGCACATGCGTGTGCACTGTGCATGTGAATACATGCACACGTGTATGCCCGCACCTGCATGTTCATGTCTATGTGTGCGTGCATGCATGCACGCACATGTACACGTGTGTGCAAGTATCACGCATACATATGTGTGCATGTCTTGCACAGGTGCGTGCATATATGAATGAGCATGCACGTGTGTGTGCAAGCGTGTATGAGTGTGTGTAGGGCCTGGCAGCTCCCTGCAGGCGCGGGCCACGGCGGGAATGAGGTTAGGGTTGTCAGACGCTCACTTAGGAGGATTTCCTAGAACAGCTTGTCCTGGATGGAAATAGTCTGGCTCAGACTCCACCCCCCGCCGCCACATCCCTGCAGACACCGCTAGAGCTTCCTGAGATGGGGCCAGCGGGAGCCAGGGCAGGGCAGGAAGGAGGGGGGAGCGCAGCCCAGGCACTGCGAGAAAGAATAACCCAGCATGCTCCCGGCAGGCTCTGCAGACACTGACTCTGCACCCTGCCTCCAAGCATCCTCCGTCTGTTCAGCAGGCATGCCTGGGACCCCGGTGGGACCTCCCTGTTCAGCCAGCGGGCCTGTGCGTCCCCCACCCATCTCAGTGGCCCTCTTTCCTCTCAGGGAACACATCCGTATGCCCCGCCCCGCATCCTGCATGCCCCGTCTGAGAATACTGACTGTAGGGAGCACGCAGGCCCGCGGGCTCCCCCGTCAGAGCTTCTTCATGTCTGTTTAACACACACGCCCATCTGACCTCCTCTCTGTATTTAATGAAAGGTCCTCATCACCCCTGTCGGGGCAGCCATCTGTGTGCTCGACAAGCCCATCT